CTTACTTATGTCTTTCACTGGGTTTTCAATGGGCACTCTCATCCTGAAGTTTTTATATTTTTGTTGAATATTGGGAAATTAACAATTAGTATTTCTTTAAATATTTATCCTCTTTAATTTTTCTCTTTTTAAGGAATTCATTATTAATTTATTGTTAATTCTAATTAAAATCTTTATATACTTTATACTTTCATATATATGTATGTATTTCCAAATTTTTAAAATAAAATTCTGTTTAATTTTCTAACTCATGCTTTCTTGTTTTTATCCATATATTATTTTAAACTATTACATATTTTGCACTTCATGTTTTACACTTGTACTTTTTAAATCTTATTTTGAGTTTATTTCACTTTACTAATATTTTTCCTTATATATTTTGTGTATTTATTATATTTACTTTAAATTCCTGTTGTCTTCTAAAACATCTACTTCTATGATGTCTGCATACCAGTTATTTTCTCTCTCTGTCTCTCTCTTTTGAAGGGCTTTATTTTCCTCAATAATCTTGATATTTTGTCCTGTGTGTTCACATTTACCTAGTTGTGATAGTCACTCTTTATAGTAGTGAGCACAGGGGAGGACTGCCTACCTTTGCACCCTTACGAATCTCAGTTATTGTAAACCCTGGGAGGTCAGAAAGAGGGGAAGAAGAAGAACCTGAAGGTGAAGACCAGCTGCCAGTAAACCATATTGCTCTGTGGTTTGCCAAACATTTTTTTAATCCATGACTTCCTCAGTCCCCTGAATGAGAAACTGCTTTGGGGGAGATTATCATCAATTACTGCAGGGATATTGAGGGAATTACCTGTGGAAGAGAAGCCCCAAGGCTAATAAGCTCTACCTTTTTTACTCAGCTACTCTGTGGAGTAGGACTTTGGAGCTTCTCTAACTTTACGCTGGAGGACACATGGAATGGAAGGCTGAACTGTTATCCCAAATCCTTATATTGAGATAGAAAGCAGTGATTACCAGAGGTTGAGCTGGATCATGTAACTGTATTGAAGGCAATAAAAGATAGTATAATAGCTGTGAATTTTTCATACAGACTTTATGTAGCCTGATGACTATAGACCTTGGTGATGACCTTTTTGCAGTGAATCTCCAGGAATTGTTTGAGTTTCTCATACTTGCATATGGGAAATTTTCCTCAATTGTTCCCTGAAATATGCTTCCAAGACTTTTTGTTTTCTCCCTCAGGAACACCAATTCTTCTTAGGTTTGACCCTTTGCCATAATCTCATAGATCTTGAAAACTTCATTTTTTTTTTATTCTTCTTTATTTTTGTCTGTTTGGGTGAATTTAAAAGCCCAGTCTTTGAAGTTTGAATTTTTTTCTTCTACTTGTTCTAGTCTATTGTTGAAACTTTTCACTGCATTTTGTAATTTCTAAATTTGTCTTTCATTTCCAAAAGTTCTGACTGGTTTATCTTTAAGATATCTATCACTTTATAAAATGTTTCCTTCATATCCTGAATGGTTGTTTTAATTTCTTAATGTAGGCTTTCACCTTTTTCAGGTGTCTCTTTGAGTAGGTTTATAATCAACCTATTGAATTCTTTATTTTATATTCCAAAGATTTCATCTAGGTTTGGATTAATTGGAGTGCTACTATAATCTTTTGGGGTATTACAGAACCCTATTTTGTCATATTCACAAAATTGTCTTTCTGTTTGTTTTTCTCTCATTTGGGTAGAGTATTGCTTCTAATTATTATTTTTTTTATTTTTTATTTTTTTCGGAGTTTTGCTCTGTCGCCAGGCTAGAGTGCAGTGGCACGATGTCGGCTCACTGCAACCTCCAGCTCCTGGGTTCAAGCGATTCTCCTACCTCAGCCTCCGGAGTAGCTGGGATTATAGGTGCTCACCACCACGCCCAGCTAATTTTTGTATTTTCAGCAGAGGTGGGGCTTCACCATGTTGGCCAGGATGGTTTCAATCTCCTGACCTCATGATCCACATGCCTTGGCTTCCCAAAGTGCTGGGACTACAGGTGTGAGCCACTGTGCCTGGCCTAAATATTCTCATGTATTTTTCATTTGACTGGTTTTTAAAAATTTCTTTTCCCCCTCAAGTATGTGACTTTAATGTTTGTAGTTTATTGTAGCTTAATTTGGCTCTTTGTACTTTAATGGGTAAAAATTCTGTATGAATTCCTTGGTTATAGAGAGTCTTTGTATGATGGCTGTCTCTGATGCTAGTTGTAGTAGCAATGTGCTCAGTGTGTAAGCAAGTTCATAGTCTCCTATAGAGTTGGAATGACACAGGTCTCTTGAAGCTTATCTCATTCCACTCTGGTGTGCATGTTTTTGTTTATTTTTCCTAAGTATTTTAGTTACTTGGTTAAATAGTTCAGGCTTCAGTCCAGTGTGGGAGGTGTACATGTTTAAAAACCAGCTGTGGCTAATCTGAAGACTTAATTTACTCCTTTGAATTTGTTGGGCGGGCGGCAGCGGGGGGGGGGGGTCTCTCTTTCTTTATATGCCCTGTTATTTTTTCATGAAAAAAAGTCTGCATTTGATAAATCCAACAACTTTTCAGACTTTGTAGTCCAGTTTTCCAGAGGGAGAACTTTTTGCATTCTACATGGCTAGAGAGACTCTGGACCCCTCTCAGGCTTTTCTGGGTATGCCTTCCTCTCTGTGTGCTTTGGCTCATGTGTAATCTTCTATTTGAAAACGTTTGCTGGTTTCTACTCAAGGCCCTCTCTGTGGCCGGGTGAGGTGGCTCAAGTCTGTAATCCCAGCACTTCGGGAGGCCAAGGTGGGCAGATCACCTGAGGTCAGGAGTTCGAGAACAGCATGGTCAATATGGTGAAACCCCATCTCTTCTAAAAAAATACCAAAAAAAAAAAAAAAATTAACCAGGCATGGTGACAGATGCCTATAGTCCCAGCTACTTGGGAGGCTGAGGCAGGAGAATGGTATGAACCTGGGAGGCGGAGCTTCCAGTGAGCTGAGATCAAGCCACTGCACTCCAGCCTGGGTGACAGAGCAAGACTCTGTCTCAAAACAAAACAAAACA